TATTGCTTAGCTTTCAGTGGCTATGACAGTATACAAATCTGAACTTTTGCTCATGCTTTTTCCATAGAACCTAACGAGTCATGCACCAGTCAAGATACAGACAGCAGTTCACATTTGGGAGAAGTTCTAACTTTTCCCCACTCTATACCAAACTTAAAGGATAAGTTCAACTTTAATTACATTAAAATCCATATCCATTTCAGCTTTGCCGTCACATTATAATGTTGTTTTCTGTTGTTCTTTGTTTTTATGTTCTTTTATGTCCTTCTGTTTTTAAGGCTCCACTTCTCTGTCCTACATAGATGGTAGGACAGCATGACCCGTGGATTAGTGACCGCAGGCCCTCACAAACAAGCACTCAGCCACGAGAACTCAGCTTGCCTAACAACGCACTCTCTCCTAGAGCAAATGAGCTTGGCGTTCTGCAAGTGAGAAAGAGAGTGAACTGCACATGTGTGGTTAGGCAAAACAAGATCTCGTAGCTGAATACTTGTTTGTGAGGGGCTGGGGCCGGACATCCAACAGTCAGTCCGTTCTACCATAAAGGCAGGACGGAGAGGGGGAATCCACGTTAGCAGCAGCTTCAAATGTAAGAGGACAACATTTTATTATAGGATCAAAGCTGTAATGCATATGTAACCTTCTGAAAAGTGTGCAATTAATACTTGATAAAGGTTTTAACAATACCTCTCAATGCCTTAAAGCATCTAAACCCAAAAGCAAAAATGTCATATATTGCAGCTTACCCATCCTTAAATCTGGTGGCTGCATTAGATTTCTTTAAGCTGCTTCTGAAACCAGGGTTTCTTTTTAACCACTAAGGAAACTTAGATGAGGTGAAGGAAAGAAGCACCAAAAAGATGAATTGATGAGGTGATTAGGTGCAAATGATTGTCTTTTATTATCAGTAGAAAGCCAATGCGTTTCGGGGGTAGAGAAACCCCTTTCTTCAGGGCTTGGATGTGCAGTGATTGACTCAGCAGAGAAAAGTGAATGCTGCTATAGCTAACTCTAGTGGAATGTGGAGACATCAATCCAGTTCACAGCACCTCTATAACTATGTACCCCCGAAACATGTCGCTGTTATCGCCAACAGTGTTTTATGGAGTAAAAACTCATGTGCTAACCATTGTGTACTGCGATTACAAAATACATAAAATCAAGTGTGTGCAGTAAATACACTTTTCTGTAGGTTCACCTGATTTTAAGCCTCATTCACATGAGAAATGGCTGGCACGTACAGCTTCGTGCTGCGTGCACGGCCGTATCGGGCAGCTCCGTGGAAGGACCAGTTCTGCGTGTGATTAGTACGCAGCCCCTGTCTTTCTCTATGGGACTACGCGGCCGTACACCGCCCTGTACGTGCTGTACGTGACGGCCGTTTCTCGTGTGAATGAGGCCTTAAGGAGATGCTGTAAGTCCATTAAAAATCTAATTTTTGAACAGAAAAAATGTAAAGTAATGTACTGCAATAGAAATACAGCTTGTGTTGCTCATTTGTGAATGGAGCCTAACGGGTAGAAACTGAATTTCTCTACTGCAAAAGTGCGCCTTAATTCTGAACGGCTACAAAGAACAAAACCTCTTTAAATAAATATATATATATATATACACACCAACGTTTACATACAATACTGATTTGGTAGAGGGTTTTATAGCCATCTAGAGCATTAAAAGCCCTGAGAATTGGCATAATATAGAATATAGCTACAGGGTCCCACGCTGGCTCTAAGCATTGGGGGGAGTATGATTTACTCTCCCCATACTTCTCCCTTAATTGTGACTTTAAATTTTAAGTCCACTCAAAAATGTCCAAATCTGTTCCTGTCCATATATAAGATTTGGGGGGTTCTGCATACCTTTGCTTGTGTCAGCTCCTTTATTTGCATGTAAACTAGAAGTAGCCAAACTTCAGCCCCCCAGCTATTGTGGAACAACAAGTCCCATAAGGCATTGCAAGACTCTGACACGCACAGGCATGGCTCTCTGAGGCAGATGCATGAGGCTACTCTGTTTCTGCCCAGATTGGACGTCATGTGAGACTTTATGACAATGATTTACAGTGACAAGGCCAACATAACTGGTCCTGTGTACTCGGTTAGGTGCTGCAGAATTTGTTAGCGCTATATAATTGAATTCAATAAATTCTACTCAGCAGCATCTATGAGTTATTTCAAGTAACCCGAACCACCATCAATGCAAATGAGCGAATCAGGAAACTATTTGGCATGAAATTTTAGCTGATCCCGATGATGCTGCAATTAAAGCTATATGTGTTTTGTCAGCAGTCTGCAATTTATACATCCAGGCAAACCCTAGCAATAGATAATGCCTTTTTATGGCATGTGAAGGTTGGATGGTTTTGGGCAGGGCCTCGTTGTTAAAGATTAATGATGCAAGGAGTCTCACTAATGCTGTTAGACATTGCATGGTGAGGTGTTCCAGTTATATCTCACTAAACCTATCTAGCATTTCTAATAAAAACTGAATGTGCTTATCCTGCACAAAGAGCCACTCAATATTGTGCTGCATAGGTGAACGGATTGTAAATTAAAAATTAATTCAGAGTTGACTGGGGACATCTAGTGGCAAGAGATAGGAAGCACAAGCTTAGGTCTTTAAATTTAAAAAATAATATACGAATATTAGCTCTTGCTGGATTAAATTAACACTAGGCTCCTCATTGCACTGCATTATCATAAACATAATTTCATTTTTTTCACATTTTGATCAGTATTCTTCTTTAATACAGATATTCTGGAGATGGCTGCATACAGCTAACTGATTAAATCTAGAGCTGATTGCATATATATCAATCTAAGATGGAAGAATAATAAGGAACCTGAATTTTAATTTAGTTTTAAATCATATCAGTCCACTAATCTATAAAAACTTGATTATGAGACATGAATAGTGCTGTGTTAAGCCTACGTGTCTGGCTGCCGCTATTTATTATTCATTGTGCTATCTGCAGAGTAAGCTCTGCTGTATGCAGAATTTTGCTCAAAGTATGGATAGACACAAAGTTTTAACACTGCTAATTATTGTTGTAGGCATGTATGAACACAGTAAGTGCTTTCAAGATATGAGCAGAAAAGATGTGGTCAGTGGATTCTGGCATATTTAGCTGATACACAAAGCTACATTGTGTAGCATATTATAAGGTTACATATATATTTACCAACAGATAAGGAAATTGATGTTCAGTCCTAGACCCACAGGGTACATCTAATAGCCAGCAGGTAATTCTGTACTGTTGCTGTTAGGCCTGATGAAGCAGGAAAGAAGGTACTCATGATTACTTCAGGGTCAAGGCTTTAAAGAGGATTCGGACAATGAGAAACCGTGTGTGTTTAGTATCAGGGTCTACAAAATGCCAAGTAACAATGGAAGCTGAAGAAAGACTCTTTTACAGCAAAGCGGTTCTTATTCAAGTTTTCAGATAATATGGCAGTGGAGAGGAACCCAGAAAGGCAGTCTTGTGCAAAGTCCGTGATGGATTCTGTCAGTAAGTGATTTTCAGAAGTTAGGCAGCTGCAGTGATCACTTTAGGGAATTGATGACCCGGTTCCTAGCTGATTGGAGCAGCTCTAAGTAAACACCTTTAGAGACGTTTGCCACTAAAAAAGTAATTGCAGATGCCACAATTCAATAATGAGTTAAAGTGTTTTTAATTAATTATTAGTTATTATTATTATTGTTATTATTATTAGTGCCCGCTTTACTGTTACAGTGTAATATGGAATGCACACAGGGAGTGGCCAATAATAAATGGTTCTATCCAGTGCCCTGTGGCACAAATTTGAAAGCTTCAGACTCCATTTTGTTATGTGCCATAAAGTCAGAAATTAGTGTAATTTTATTGGGGAA